AACTCATTAAAGTACAATATAATATTATAATACATTATATAATATTATATTGCATTACATTTAATACTTATAATTCTATAATAATATAAACTAAATATTATAAAATTATATTTACAATATATTTTATTATAATTAATACATAATATATTAATAATATGTTTAATACTAATGTTATAAAGGGTCAAACTAGTATTGACCAAAAATACTTAACATGGTATTTTAAAAATATTTTAAGGGAAAAACACAACACTATGGTGTTTTTTTAAAAACACAAGAAGAAAAATACAATGGTAACCAAACGAAGCCTAACCGATTGTAGAAATTTAATTCTCGATTGCATCTTGAAACCATTTGGGTGCTTGACTTACAAAATAAGAAAACATTGTTAGTAAACATAGAACATCATATAAAGAATAAAGCATGTAACATATAAGATATAACATATAGAATGAAGATCACAACTCACAAGATTCATATCAAACATAAGCAAATCAAAACAAACAAACGAGTTTTTAAAGCTTCAAATAGTTTATAATTGTTTAACATTCAAGAGCAAATCCATAATAACATAAAAGCTAAGATAACTAGAAAGTCTAGAATCAATCTTCATCGTGATCAATCGAATCCGTGAATAACGCATCCATCTCTTCTTCCTCATCATCTTCCATCGGCTCTTTTCCTTTCAATGAAGATGGTCCCGACTTCTTCTTTTTTTTAAATACATTTATAACCTTTCACTCTTTCTCTTCCTTGGATTAGCTCCCGAAATATCTCCAACTTACCTAAAAGTTAAACACTCTCCCGGAAATACTTCATCATCACTATTATTCCCCTCCTCACCCAACAACCATTCGGTGACCCTTTCCTCATTATCGTAGGCGGTTAAAGGATCTCTATCTATAATGGCATCCTTGTTCTTCAACTTTGCATTGAACTTGACAAAGACTAAGTCATGAAGTTTTTTATGAGTTAGTCTATTCCTCTTCTTCGTATGAATCTACAAAAGAAAATCATGAATTAGCATAAAAAACTAATCATCAAATACTACAATACAAGCCCTACAAGATGATTAAAATTTAAGAAATAATATTACCATCTCAAATGTACTCCAATTTCTTTCACAAGCCGATGAGCTAGTTGTCAAGCCCAAAATCTTCATTGCTATCTTCTTTAACTCAGGAGTATCATTTCCATAAAGCCTCCACCAAGTAACTAGTCAATTCATATATGAAAAAATTTAGTAACTTATAAATTCAAAAAAGAGGTCAATGAATTAATTTGAATGAGAATATAAATTTACCCGGACAATCATCCTTAGTAGCACTTCGCCTCGCAAATTGATCCCCAAATGACCTTAGTTGTTCTTGATAATTAGGTATTTGATCTCCAATCTTTGTGAAAGTTGCATGGTCATCGGGATAGAGTCTCTACATACAATCCACTATGGCTTTCATGAAGCTTCCGTCACCTTCAATGTCCATGTAAGCCGGGTAATAGTAAAAAGGATTCAAAAATTAACACACTTTATATAGTGTTTCACAAAGATTCTTCTTAAATCTCGGCTCAATCATTTTCAATATGGGATTGTACTTCTTCTCATCATCCCCAAGGGCCACTTTCAACTCCTCCATAACAATCAACATGTCCCTATATATAAATCCCATCGAACCGATTTTATCACCATCCGCTCTTCGAAGAACCTTCACTAGAGGAGTGAATACTTTGAGAGCAAAGTCTATATTATCCAAAAACTTGTTGCTACCAATTATCTTCGCAACCTACAAACATACAAATAAATCCAATCAATGAAATATAAATGATCAAATGAATACAATTAAAAAATTTAATTTAAAATATACCTTTTTGCCCACAGATGTTCTTGAAAGGCTACAATCTGTCCATTGGTCAGAAATAAACATTTGTCTCATCTCTTTCTTATGATCTCTTAATGACTGTAGAGAAAGGAACACTGTAGCAAACCTCATAACTCCCTGTCTCACAAGATTACCCTTAGTAAACTCCCTAAATAATTGAAGAGGCTTGGTGTGATTATATAAGAACATTGATACACTCCTCCCCATTATAATGGCATTACGAATGTGTTTTATCTTAGCTATACCGGACAACATCAAATTCACTATGTGTGCAGCACAAGTCGTCCAAAATATATTTGGCCTCTTCTCGACCAACAACTTAGAAGCCGCCATATTATTTGAAGCTCCATCAATGATTATTTGTACCACATTTGTCTCCCTTATCTGATCAATAGCCTTGTCTACAAAGGCACAGATATACTGAGCATCATGCTTATCGGCTGATGCATCATGTGAAGACAAAAAAACAAACCCTCCCAACAGAATGTACAACTATGTTCATGATGTTTCTAGACTTCCGATCACTCCATGCATCAGTCATTATCGAACAACCATTGACAACACAAGTCTTTTTGTAAATATGTCTCACTCAGTTCATACATGATGGAGCTTGCAAATGACTTCCAAACAAGCCAGTAGCTTTTAACATTTGATGGAAAGAGGAAAGCGTGGCAGTATGAAATGGAATGCCAGCTTCATTGAACTATTTAGAGATGTATTATAATACATCCTCACTTTTCTTCTTTTTAAGCTTGGCGTCCTTCGTTGGTTGTTTTTCCTTTGCTACTATTTGGGTAATCTCCTTGGGAGAACGAGCGGTGAAGGAGTCTATTGGTCCAATTACCTTGTGGGAGGATGACGAGCTTCTTTGACTACTCAATGAGATGGAGTTATGCTGTAGAAACTTTAGATGCTCTAAGCGGAATTGCAGGAAACGTTTTCCTAACATCTAAACGAAGGATCTATTGCATAAATCAATTGGATTAAGAAAAAGGAAAAACGATTACCTCTTGATGCGTGTTCAAAGCCTTCTCTAATGGAGAGATTAAGAGTCTCACTTGAAAACTCCTCTAGTTGATCCACCCGAGCAAAGATCTGGATCCTTAGAAATCAACTGCTAGGTTGAAGATGAAAGGTTTTTTGGGAGAGAAAGTAGTAACACTTTCACGTATATAGAGAAAGTGGAATTGGATTGGATTTTTTAAAAGAAAAACCACTCTTATTTATAATCCACAAATTAAAGTCATATTTAATTCTATAATTAAATATAATCCACTAATTAAAGTCATATTTAATTCTATAATTAAATATTATCTTTTATAACATTTATAAATAAATTTATCCTTTATTTAACAATAACTCCTTATTATTAATAAACTCTATTTTGAAGTTATATCTTATATAACTTTATATTATATACTTTATATAATAATTCTCCCAATATATCCAGTCCATAAACTCTTAGGGTGTGACCTCGTAGGACCCAATTATAATAGCAATGAACTTTATAACATAAAGTCCATAAATCATAGTTGGCTTCTAGCAAAGCACTATGACTACCTAAAATAACCGGATTGTAAATCTCCATTAAATGTCCCATACCATAATTAGTAATTGCACATTCGATTAAAGGACACAATTCCTTCACAAAGATTCAGTTTTCCCCTGACCCAACCAATGAACTGCCTGAAGTGTGCTCATCTGAACAGAGCGGTGTGTTGGTTGCAAAGGAACATAAAGTAAAGATGAATTAGGCTTTTAAATTACATCTTTAGACCAAAATTTACTCAAAAAACGAATAGCACGCCCGACTCATTCCGCTCCCAAAATTCTAGCTAGTTAATTGCATCTCGATGGTATTTTTCCCTTTGACCAAACATACAATATTGAACTAAATATATGCAGTACTCGTCTTTAACAAATAGATCAACATGCATGAGAATCTTAGGGTGTTTTAAATTATTTACATCTACCTATGTCGCTCACAGAACTAACAATTTTATATTTGGGCCGAGTCAATCTCATATATATGATAAATTAACATTTAGAGTTGAAAGGGTTAAAAATTTTTTTCTCTAACAACATTGATCCCATCTGACGAGTTAATTTTAAAGAGTATGTAATAAGTCTCTGTGGACAAATAGATCCAATAATAGCTAGGTATAGAACATGTAATATTCACATTCACCAAGTTATCCTCAATTACATACAAAAAAAATGAAATTTCACCAGTGAGCTTTCAACACAAATCAGTGCATGCATAAGAGGAGCTCCATGCCATCATCAATCAGACTACCTTGAGACTCCATCTTTACGTTTCAGGTAACAAAAGAGAGATTGAGGGGGAGAGAGAAAGAGAGTACCTTGAGAGGGGTCGGGCAGCAGGAGGCGGGCGGCGAAGAGGAAGGTCTCGGAGACGGTGACGAGGGGGAGGGAGGAGTCGTGCTGGGGGACGTAGGCGGAGAGGCGGCGGAAGGAGGAGGGGTGGAGGGGGGAGGAGTTGAGGAGGAGGTGGCCGGACGAGGGGGCGACGCGGGCTGAGAGGATGTCGAGGAGGGTCGACTTGCCAGCTCCGCTGGGGCCGACGACGCCGAGGAGCTCGGCGGGGCGGGCGGTGAAGAGAACGAGAAGGGGGAGAGGAGGCGGGGATGAAGAGAGAGGGGGAAATGAAATTGAGAGAGGGATTTGGGATAAATCCCTCTCTCGGGCGCGGGCTGCCCAAATTTTTTGGGCACGCCCGCGCCCAATTTTTTTGCCAGCTCATACTTTTTAGCGACGGAATTTCCGTCGCTAAAAAATTTATTAGCGACGGAAATTCCGTCGCTAAAAAATTTTAGCGACGGAATTTCCGTCGCTAAAGTTAAAATTTTTAGCGACGGAATTTCCGTCGCTAAAAATGATTTTTCCGTCGGCAAAATAATTTTGCCGACGGAATAATAGCGACGGAATTTTCCGTCGCTATAACTCGTCTTATAGCGACGGATATTTCCGTCGCTATAAGTCCGTCAGCAAAACCCCATATTCTGGCAGTATAGTAGCAAATAGCAATAAATACCCATCGTCCTTGTAACTAGATAGTTTGAATGTTGCATTTATTTAGTAGATCTTCAACCAATAAAAATAAACTTTTTTCTAAAATTATCCATCTTTTTGTGTTTGATCTGTATGAACTTTACTTCTGTGGTGGACTTGAACTCTGCATGGAGTTGTTGTGTTAAGAAGCGAAGCTTGGGCTTCCTTATGTTGGTGAGAGTTGATCTGAAGTTCGCTAGGTAGAGCCTGAAATAAATTGAGTTAAAATTTTTTCAATTTGGAAACTTGGTGAAATTCGCCATATCATTTTGGTGAAGTTCACTTCAGCACCCCACTAATTAGGGCAAAGTTCGTTGTTAGGAAACAAACGGCTGGGCGGAGCTCATTAAGTCAGTTAAGCGAGGCTCAGTAACTCTGATAAGTGAGGCTCTTTATGAGGATTTAAAATTTGAATCCTTAATTTTTGTACCTAAAATCGTGGCGAAGGTCTTCCAGAGCAGGATTCTCGACAAAATTTGAGACAAAAATCTTTAGCGAAGTTCGGTGCGAGATTTATAGCAAAGGTAAAAATCTTCAGCAAAGATTAGGGTCAGCATATAAATAGAGCTGTTTACCTCCTCGTTTTGATTTTTAAAACCCTAACTTTCTTAAAATCCTAGTTTTCTGAAAACCCACCAAAAATCTCAAGACCAATTTTTGATGGCTCCTTGTCATGCAATCTAAGAGGAAGAGGTGCTGTTAGGGGGTCTCTATAAAACCCCAAAAATTTGAATATTTCGTGATAAATAATAATAAATATGTTATATATTTATAAATAATATATTATGATATTTGAGTATGCTAGGAATTGATTTGAGATCAATTCAATGTATATATGTATATATATAAGAGCAAATGCACAAATCATGCTCGAGGTAAAAATCTGTAAATTTATGACTAATAGAGATATTTTATATTTTACACATTGATATGTTGTGCATATAGAAAAACATAAAAGACCAAAGTTGTAGATAACTTCAGCAGCTTTCTAACAAATCCTTAATTGCCTCATTCTGAGGTTGGATACGAAAGTTACAGCTAAAATACCGAAGAGTATGTTTTAGTTAGACTGGGTTTTCCAGTTTCGGGTTTCGGGTTTTGGGCTGTAGTTTTTCAGGTTTGTTGTCATATATACACATATTTAAACATGAAAACACCTCTTTTCTCCTACGTTCCAAACCCTAGCAACCCCTTTTCCGCTCTCTCAAACCCTAGTTCTTTTCTTTGGCGATTTTGAGGGATTTCGGAGGATTTTTCAGCGGGTTTTGTGCAGTGCAGCGACGGGGATTGGTTCTCTTTCATGTGACATGAGTTTTTCAGCATCTGAGGTGAGTAACATCTTGCTTAACTCTGCATTCTTTTATTTTGCACGTTTTATTAAGTTTTATTCGGATTTTTTGAGCCTAAAATGTATTTTTAGTGTACAAAAGATAGATCTTTATAACTTATGAAGTGAGAATACATTATCATAATTTTCTAATTGATTACAATAGTAACCTTGATAAAATTCAGATCTAAAATTTATTAATCATAAATTAAATCACAAGTTTTTGCTTTTAAAACGTTTAAACAGGTGTATATAAATGTTTAGGGTTTCGACGATATATTTACATACTAATATTTTGTTTCATGTTGTTTCATATATGTTGATATCAGTAATATTATGCTTGGAAAATAATGATGTCACTTCTAGATTTTCGAAGCAGACAGAAACCTGTGAAGGGTTTCTGCTTGTTTTGGTTGATCGCTGGCACAGTTTGTGCATGTTTACTTTTGTTGTGTACTTTAATGTGAATGAGGAGTCGCCTCGAATATTTGGCATTAGAAATTATTGTTTATTATATATCTTCATATATGAGATGGCTTGTGGACATGAGTTTAGATTTGCACACCGAGACACGTGTGAAATTAGTGTATATGCATCCTTTTCATATATCTCATCGATATTCTACACATTTCATTCAGTCCATGTGTTGAGCAATTATTATGTGCAGCCCATGTGTTGGACATTCATCATATTTTGTCCATATGTTGGACATTCATCATTCAGTCTATGTGTTGGACAATTTATATATGCAGTCCATGTGTTGGGCATCCACTACACCTAGTCTTAGTCCATATGTTGGACACCTGTTTAAGCATCGAGTATGACACATACACTTACATAGGCTGGACATGACACTTATGTGGGTTTTGACATGACATGGTATTTGAGTTCTGAGATGGGTTAGTCTTCTTTATATTATTATTCTTGTATTAGATCTTGGGTTTGGTATTTAGGGATTTATAATTTGAGATACAAGGTATATACATGAGGGTTTCCTTGTTTGGATTATTTTGCTGGACGTACCTATACTCGTGTTGTAATTTCCTAAATACTAAAATCCTCTTATGGTTAGGATCAATGATTTTATGTATAATTAACTGTATTTTCTATATGCAACGAGCCCTCTCCCTTGGGGTTGGTTG